AACATATGAATTTTAATTTTTTTTAGTGCTCAATAAAATAATCCGTATTGTTCACTAGTTTTCTATATCTCCTACATCTCGGTGAGTGATGTTCACTCAAAACTAGCAATTATAATAATAATATGATACTTTAAAGTTCCTCTTACCCATAATTTTAAATAAAATTTAAATTCTGAAAGCAATACATAGCTCAGTCTAATATTGTACTGAGATTGTTGAATCGGAACGAACAGTATCGTGGAAGAAAGAATAAAATTCATATCCGAACTTTCAGAGAAATATTCTGAAGAATGACGATTTTATTTGAATTTATAGTTTTGGAACAATCCTCTATAAACTTAATAGTTTGGAGATATAATAAATTATGTTGGAAGTTATGATGTTATTAAATTGACTACATGAAAAAAATTATATATTGATGATCTTTCAAATTTTTGTAGTAATTCACCAGTCACCCTGTATATATATGTATATTACTCGGGAATAATGTAGCTTTCCAAAGGTGAAAGAATTTTTGAAATCGGTCCAGTAGTTTCGGAGCCTATTCATTACAAATAAACAAACAAACAAATCTTTCCTCTTTATTAATATAGATGAAAACATTCAAGGATCGGATTGTATTTGTGAAAAGATATGGTCGTCAAGCATAAAGGCTCAAGATTTTGGATATCTGGAAATTTTTACAAAAATTATATGTTTACAATATCAATTTGTAAACCTTACGGCTTACACTGATGCTTATCATTCAATTATGTATACTTAGTCCAAATTGTAGTTGCAGTAAAGTATATTTTATATGAACAAAACCTGTGAAATGTTTAAAGGGGGTATCAATAAAACATCAGGCTTGTATTTATACTGCTATAATAAACTCATTTGTGATCACATTTATTTTAATAATATATTTTGACACACATATTGTTATGTACTAGTATTGTATTTCCATCCGTTTTCGCAATGGTTTTAAATCTTGTTACAAAGTATCGGATGTTCTACTCCAATGACGAGCATTTCTGGAGGTTGGACATCGCGAAAACGGAATATTGAAATATTGTATCTATGAAGAAACGACAACACTAAAGTAGAATAGAAGTAGGTAAGTGTAGATAATGCAGTACGAAGTCGCCTTCTGGTTATATATGCTGGTGCTGAGACGGTGGGAATGGGATTCATTAGACACGTAGGTAATAATGATAGTTAATAAATTTATATATCTCTTATGTTATGTAGAATATTATCTGTCATACATACTAATATATCGAAATAGTAAGCGTAAATTGATTGAACGATGTCAATCTTTAGTCATAAATCAGAATAATATATAATTTTTAATCTAGGTTTATAATTACATATAACGTATTTCATGAGCGTTATCGGAAAGCTAAAGAAAAATTCATTTAAGTTAAGCTGCAAACAACATATTTCAAGTCTTCACTGAATGTTTACCTGAACGTAGAAATCATTAATAACTCCCTCATATGCACCGTCTTTTGTTCTCATCTCACTAGGATGGAATCCTGTTATGTGGACTCCGTGATAAACATTAAACATCCCGTAAGTCTGATTGCATTATCATTCTATTTATTCCTTCATGAGTAGCCAATGACAATCTCTCATATTCTTTTGTCCGATAAATTCTTATGGAATTTGATCACTTTGTTGTCTCTAGATCCTAGTCCTAATCTTACTGAGTACGTGCATGTGGCTAAAATTGAGCACATTTAAAATATTATGTTAAAATAGTTAAAATACTAACTGGTTTTGTATTTTTAGTATAATAAAAAATAGTAATATCTTACGTTTACACGGTCGATCTGGGAACATTTTATCGAAACCTGGTCTACACACGCACTTCATAACACTATCGATCCTCTGGCATCTTTCATTTCTCGAAGCTTTACAATCTGGTTGACATTCTTTACCATATCCTATACCAGTGAAAATTTATTCATTTAAATAGAATATAGTATAAAATTAAAGCGACAACTAGTAGACTAGTTCTAAAGCAATTTATATTTGATCAGTTAATACTTGCCTGTTGGATGAACAACATTAGTCGTTTCTAGGTATGGCGTTCCCGCGAGCAATATTTCACCGAACAACACCTGTGATACTCCATTATTAGTCACTTGTTCTTTCCTCGTGACCCCATCATAAGCACCAGCCTCTATATCAGTGTTAATAGGGGGTGACTTACCACCATTTTGTGATTTATTCATCACTACAAAGAATGTGTCATTGTCTTTATTTTGTAGAAATTTAATTTTGTATTAGCTAAAAATAATTAACTATGGTCACAAAATTATTGCATATTAATTAATTAAATATTATATAATTATTTATGTTTATATAATTTAAATAATACTAATTATTAATATTTAATTATTATGTATTTTATTGTGCTGAGCTGAGCGCCTATATAAAGGTTTTGATTACCTGTCAGTGAGTCAGTGCCAAAATTAGCTATTTTCACAGGGTCATATTTCAGGATCTACTGAAGCTTTATCTATGAAATTTGGCATACCGCTTTAGTACTAGTATATGATTACGTAGGTACAATTTTATTTCTGTACTTGCAATAGGCACTGAGCTACAGGGGGTTTAAAAGTGGGTCGAATTTATTAAAAATTCGATATTTAGAATTGAGGCAACTCACGCTTGACCGATTTCTTAATTTTTTGTTAATCTACATATAACACACAACCTGTGTACCAAATTTCATAATGCCAAAACAATGGGAAGTGGCCTAGAGATTTTGATTACCTGTGAGTCAGTGCCAAAATTAGCTATTTTCACAGGGTCATATTTCAGGATCTATTGAAGCTTTATCTATGAAATTTGGCATACTGCTTTAGTACTAGTATATGATTACGTAGGTACAATTTTATCTCTGTTCTTGCAATAGGCACTGAGCTACAGGGGGGTCAAAAGTGGGTCGAAACGGTTCGTGTAAATAGTGCACGGCATGCGCGCGGCCTGTGGAACTTGGCCGGCGCACTACCGTGCGCTTAGAAAATGCATATAATTTAATAGTGTGTTGATGTAGTTCTGAAAGAATTTTTCTTTTCAGATCTCTTTCTATGATTCCAAAACCGACGTCAAGTTCTAGCAAAACGAAGAAATAAATACTGATGCATACATATTCTCTTTATAATAATGCATTTTTACTATTATCGGCTTAGGCTTAGCAAATGCACACTATTTGCTATTACAAAATGTTAAAGAAAAATCTATACAATACTTGAAATGTGACGATTCAGGATATTTACGTAAACCATAAAAATGAAAAGACAATACTCGTACATATGAAGGATTTTACAATTCTCTTTCCCGGATCTAACATTAATCTATCCGGTGAAAAATTTCTATGTATTTTCTTATAATTGTACCGTCGTATATTCGACATCGGTCCATATTACTTGACCCGTTAACCTCTATAGATAGCTTAGCTTTATAGTCTTGAAAATAACCGCTTACATGATGTTAACACTGTAGAAATATCAAATAATATTAAGATTTAAATTAAGTACAAGTATCTGATACTAACAGTTTTGTTATTGTTATATTAGAAGCATAATGATCGGTTAATGAAACTAACATTCTCGCTATGAAGAAATATGTTGGCTCGTCTTTTTATGGGTCAATAAAAATTGGTTTCGATATTTGCACAACTTCTGATAAAATTAGATAGATAGGTACAAAATGTATTATTATATATTGGTTTTCACGTTCAGTATCACTGACGGACAGTATAAAATCAATCTAAATTAATACCATTTAATATATAAATATTTTTAAATGAAACTTCATTAAAAACTAACACATTATAATTTTATATACGTTTATGTTTAGATAAAATTAAGTTGATTTGATCGTCGAAATACTATGTACGGCGACGCTTGCTCACATCGTTTTTCAGATATATATAAATGTATGTATAAAGAATGGTATCATGAGGAATGTAATAAAAAAAGGTTTGAGACTGAAGCACGTAAGACCTAGAATTGTTAGAATAACAAGCTTGAACATTCGCTGGCGTTAGAGCCAAGCAGAACGCTAGGATAAATTAAATAGTTAAAATTGATTAAGATATATGTGTGCTTGATTATAATATTACATAACTTTAAATGAATCATCGCTGTATTAAGTTTTAAGATCTATTTAGTTGCTATTGTTTCCTTGTATATATTATTAATGCTAAATATTCTATCGATAAACAAAAATATTATTGATTATTGAATAAAAACGCTATGTCTCATATTTAATTGGTTGTTTCATTTACTTAACCCATATTATGAGCTGTAAAAAAAAATAAAGAAAGATATGTTTATTTAATATTTTTTATTTAGAAATAGCAAAAGAATAAATTATAATTGTCATAAAAATACAGAAATAATTTAAGAATAATACAATTACATATGTATCATAACTAGGGCCCGGATAAGTATGTATTAAAAAATCTAAAATATGTACATAAAATATGGACGAAAAAAAAATCAAAAATATGGAAAAAATATGCAGTATAAAATTAAATACTTTCATAATTAAACTCGGAACTTTCGCACAGAATTTTGTTAATTTTTTAGCGTCTAAAATCCTTTACTTTTATCCAAAACATTAGTGGCGGGAACGTAAATTTTATGTATTTTGTGAATATATGGATGATTGTGACATTTTCTTGTAAAATATGGACTTAACTTTGAGAATATGGTAAAATATGGAAAATAAAAGTTGGTTGTTCAGTCTAAATATGACAATCCATGTAAAAAACACATTCTAGACCAAAAATCGCGTAAATTAAAAATATGTATTTAAATATTAATCCGGGCCCTATTGATATCATATACATATTGTTTACAATAACTTCTTAGCATTCTCATTCATTTTATAATATTAAGCTTAGTTTGTGCAAGCCAATTGAGTTAAATAATAAAATTAATTCAATTTGATATTTCAATAAATAATTATCCAATATTCGGTCTTGATTAATATTTTTGTGGCTAAGTTGCGATAGTATTAATTACTACCACGATTTCAGCTACATGGATGTATGTTACATATGTATAAGTGTGATTGGCCTCTGGTATACAGTCAGGGTGTGTGATCATGGCCACTATGTCGTCTAGTAGCAGCAGACTGTGACACTTGATCTCCGTGTACACGTTCTTCCCGAGGGTACAGCATGTTAACAGCTTTATGAGGTCTATGTGGTACCTGCAAGAAATATATACATAAATATTATTAATTATATGTAATATTAAGTGCACATTTATATTAGATTGTCAAAGAAGCTATCGATAACCCTTTCTTGCATATATATCTTACGCTGTTGTACCTTAATAATGTATACAAATTCGACCATTAAAGTAATGAAAATTGGGTTGGTTAATTTTGTTTTCACACTTTTCGTAATTAATGCATAATTATTTTAAATCCTTATTAAATGCCAGAGCAAGAATATAAATTTTGAAATGATCATATAATGGCATATATATTACGTGAGAGCTTCAGGCATCTCTCCCGTCTGTTTGTACTCCCTCATCATTTTGATGAAGTAGTTGAAGAGTACTTTATCATTGTAGAACACCAGCACGTCCTCGCCGGCATTCAGCATCTATAATGAAACATGAAGTACGATTAAATATATGTATTATATGTACCTTAGTACAAGTATGCGTCGTTTAACTAAATACTGAGCGTTTCCGAGTTTCCATTCATGAACTCAAATGATAGAATAGATATTTATTAACGAAGATAGATTTATTATTGAACAACAGAGAAAAAATCGTGTTTACATAATACATTGACGACATAAGCATGTGATATAACATAACTATATTACTGAAAATAGAATTTTATGTTAGGTAATATTTGATAGAGGAGCTTTAAAAATGGAGGTGAGCGTTTAAGGCGCCTTAGATAGGGACCTCTTAAACCTACACCTGGGTCACAAGTCCTAAGAGCTATTGAAGCTCCTCTCACTACAACGATAGACTCGCTACCACGGGAAATCATGGAATTTTAAGAGGTTTCGTCTCTTAAAACCATGCATGCTATGATGGGTGAAGGGAGAGGAACTTACTTCTTGCATGACCAGGTCCTGGCTCCTCCGTATATGGTGAGGTCCCGCTCGTACTATAGTTCTCAGAAACTTGAGGCAGGCGGGCCTCCGTCCGCGGGATTCGATGCAGTGTACGAAGTGCGCGGCGACCTTCTCGTTCTCTTCGAATATCGAGCACACCGTCTGGGCTTCGCGGATCTGATGTAAGAAGTTGTCTGAATAAAACTATCGTTTTGATGCTTTGATCGCTGGCTATACTATAATTGTAAAACAATAATTTAGCGCTATGGTATATATATAATAATAATCAGGTTACATTTACCTTGCATATGTTACTTATTTGTTAGATTGTGCACTTTTTATTAATTTCCGGGAAAACCCTAAAAACTGTGCTTTTTTATTTCCCATACAAACGGTTTTTTGACATTAGATTTTACAACTAACTATGTAATATGTCAATCATTCTGTCGCACTTCAAAACACGGAGATTTATGGCTTAAAGGTAAACTCCAAAAATATAAATTAAAAAACGTAACAGATATTTCTGGATTATTATAGAGCGATAGGAAGTTCGCTGGGTCTTCTAGTAAAATATTGGTCTTGAGATGTCAAAGTAACTGTGAGTTAACGACGATGAATTCCAGTGTACGGAAAAACTAATATTGGTTTATGAGACACTGTGAAAACTTAGACATATATGTAAAAAATACCAACTAATTGTAATAATAATTATAATAAAATACGGTATTAAACAAAATAACAGTACAATTGTTTATATTCAATAGCCTGTTCTTACTCCAGCGTTGAGGAACAGATCCAGGTGTTTGTGTAGTATGGCCTGGTTCTGCGTGTTCCCGTGACAGAAGTGCTGGAGGAACTCGTGCGCCAGGCCCAGCAGCTCGTCCATAGCAGCGTCGTCCTCATCGTGTGGCACCTGGAAATAATTGATTACAGAATATATTTATAACATACAGCAGAAAATTATTCTTTCCTTTTTTTGTTTTGTAGAAAATAAACGTAGATCTTAAATGATTTACACCTATATCATGAGTGTAGGTATAGCATATTTCCGGAAACAGTTTTGTAAAAGCAACAATGGCTTTTAAGTGAGAAGATAAAGAAAAAACTTAAAAAAGCAGTAACATTTACTTTTCCTGCACTTCAGCATTTTAGTATTTAGTACTATTGGTTTTATTATTACAGCAAGGAGCTAAGACTTGTATTGAAGTCCAAATAGAAAGAACTATTAATTATTGACGTGACTAGTAATGAAACCTGCCACCCTTGAGAATACTGTTTTACATTTGTGATATATATAAATACATACATACACATATATAGGGTTTAAATCCTGCCCGTATCGATATATTGTTTTAACTGCTCCTCCACCCACCTGCAGCAGGTCCAGCACTACATTATGTACTCCTATATTCCTCAGTAGCCTCTGTTCGTGTCTCCGCGGTCTCGAGTCGCCCCCCTCCCTCGCCGTGTTGCCCTGGGTACAGTACTTGATCATACGTTCCAGGATCTGTTTTATACAACGTTTAAATTTATTTATTTAAAAGGTACATCAACATCACACATATACAAAGATAAAATAGAAAAAAAATCTAGGACCTGATATGAGTGACAATTACAGATGTACACAACATTCACGAAAAGCAAAAAAATAAATCTTACTGTCTACCTGTTGAATTTAGGTGATAATTAAATAAAAATTAAAAAAAAAATATTTAATATCTTATGTATTATCAACAAAAACAACTTGGAAGTTCTGTATTACCAATTATGAATTAACGATATTATGTTATAATAAAATTACTGGGATCCATCAAATTTGAACTTATAACTTGTTCGATACGGTATCCAAGTCACTATGTCGACTGTGCTACTGAGTATTTATAAAAGTTGACGAATAAATTTTTACATCAACTTATCATTTGTAGTGACTATCAGAGATTGAAGCGCCAATTTAGATGAAACATTAATATAAATACAACTTAAGTCAACTACTGACTTAAGTTGCCTAGTGGTTAAAAGGCCCGCCTCTCGTGCACGAGGGCGCGGGTTCGATCCTGGCAAGTACCAATGTGATTTTTCCGAGTCATATATACTTTCTAAGAGTATTTAGACATCACTGATTAATGCATTCCCAAAATAGAGTTGATGTCAGGCAGGCGGCCGGTCGTAAAAACAATTAGCCAAAACTATTCACAACATGTAAGGCAGACCCTGGCTAAAAGCTGGGAAATTGCCGGGTAGAAGATTGATATAAATGCAATATTTATTTTGTACCTCTTTAGTCTTATCGTAGTCCTGTCGATCTCCTCTCGGTGCTCGCACGTTGTCTAAGGACGCGTTTCGCTCCAACACCGCCCCGCCAGGACCAACGGCGCCTTTTATATCTAGAAAAGTATTGATTTATACAGCCACGGGCAAAAGTATTAGGCACCCTACAGTAAGACAAGTTTTAGGGTGTTTTAGCATAGCGAGTGTAAATAAAACTGCATTTATGATTACAATGGTTTATTTTAAGAAAATAATTAATATTTTGTAGGTCCACCTTTTGACTTAATAACCGCAGCCACTCTTTTTGGCATTGACTCTACCAGCCTGAAACATTCTTCTCTTGATATATTTTTCCATTCCTGCTGTAACGCGGCCAATAGAGCTTGTTTATTGCTAATTGAGTGCCTGCGGATATTTTTCTTTAAAATGGTCATAATATGCTCAATGGGGTTGAGGTCTGGTGATTGTGGTGGCCAGTCCAAAAGATCAATATGATTTTCAGCAAACCACTTCATGGTATGCGCGGACTTGTGGCAAGTGGCGTTGTCTTGCTGAAATTTCAGGCCATCGGTGTTTGTATCACCGAAAATTTGCGTTATCGACGTTGCTAGTGCTGTTTCCAGAACTTCAGTGTATTTAACACTATTCATTCGTCCCTCACACAACACCATTTCGCCCTTTCCGTCGGCAGCCATGCAGCACCAGATTATTATTGAGCCTCCACCATGCTTAACAGTGGGAACCACACATTCTTCGCCAACCCTTCGCCTAACATAAGTCACACCGGGTGTTCTAAACACCTATGCCAAACGAAAAAAACCCATTTATTTTCAAAGTTATTATTTTTCTTGCAGTACGTTATTTTAAAATCATTTATGTGTTTTAATATTGTACATAAAATAAATAACAATACCTCAAAGTTAGATTCGTCTGACCACAGTATGTTGGACCAATCTTCCACTGACCAATCTCTATGTTTGAGTGCCCTCTCCAACCGATTTTTCTTATTGTGTTCTGACAGCCACGGCTTCTTCCTTGCTTTACATCCTTTTAATTCAGCTTTAAGAAGTCTTCTTCTCACAGTATAAACACTCACTGAGCTGAATTTTGCCTCAGATAATGCTGCAGCGAGCTCTAAAGCAGTTTTTTTCCTGTTTTGTAGAGACTGCCTAATCAACAATCGATCTTTCCGTTCAGTAGTAACTTTTCTTCTGCCTGTTCTTGGTCTATTTTCATGGGTGCCAGTCTCTTTGAAGCGATTTATAGCATATTGAACTGCACATCGCGAGCACTTCACTTCTCGGGCTATTTTAAGCTGAGACATGCCTTGTTCATGTAAAATCTTAATTCTTAGACGCTGTTCAGAACTAAGTTCAGATCTTTTCGGCATGATTAACACGTTAAATGTTAGTCTTTAGAATTGTGATAGGAATAGTTGCGTAGAAGACGTGTATGTTCACTGCAAGCACTGATAACACACTATAACCCGAAACGCAAAAAAGCAAATTCGAAGAATCACCGCTTAGGAGCACACCTGGATGTCATAAATATTTTCTTTTATCTTAATTTGGTTAAAAATTGCCGCTAATACAATAGCTAAACCATAAAACACACACTTGACCGCTATCTAATGAGATAGTGACTAACAATAGGGGTGCCTAATACTTTTGCACGCAGCTGTATATGTTTAATAATATTTATATATTTTTTGAACAATATTCTTTCATCATCTACAGGTGATACTAATAATTATCAACAAGTTATACAGTCCTAAGTATGTAGATACCACTATTTCATGATATATGAATGAATGTTTGTTTTTTATGTTATGTTTTAGGTATAGAAAATTTATAAAATATATTAGAACTGCAGATCATATATGTATATGGAATAATTTTTGCCGGTATATGCAGGACAATTCGAAAAAGTTGTTATTTTGAATTTATTAATTTGATAACTATATTAAATTCTCACCGCTGTGATCATCTATAATCCCGGCGCGTCCCTTATTGAACACCCACAGCTCCGACTTCTCAACGCTCTGTCTCAGTATGTCCAGGTCGGCCTTGATCTGTTTGTAGGACTCCACGTCCGCGTCAGACACTAACAGTTGGACCTGAACGGAATATAACGATAAATATATTATAGACTACAAAGATTACATTAAAATCTCACACATATGATGAGAAACTACGTAGGATCTCTTTTTGTTGACTTCATTACTTGCATTTATGAGTTATCTTGTAAAATATTTAATATGCTAAGGTATGTTGATATAATACTAATCCTACTAATATTATAATTGCGAAAGTTTGTGAGTGTGTGTGTGTATGTTTGTTACTTCTTCACGCTAAAACAGCTGAACCGATTTTGATAAAATTTTGTATACAGAAAACTGACGTCTAGGAATAACACATAGGCTACTTTACATCCCGGAAATCTGCGGGTAATACCGCGGAGCGCAGCTAGTTAATTTATAAAGCGGACCTGCTTAAAAGCCTCCAAAACTTCTTGTCTCTGACTGAAATGACGGAATAGCAGCGCTAGGGCTCCTGAAACGAGACTGGCCGAAGCACCCTGGGAACACAGCTGCAGCAGAACTCTCAACACCATACGACCGCCGCAAGCATCCAGGTCTAAACCGTCTCTGAAATTTAAACCTTATTGTATCAATATTAAGATTTAAAATATAATATCATATGAGAAACGCACAAATCGCAATAGGATTATAAGCGTTATGCCTAAAAAAGAATCTCTTTTCGGGTAACGGGTTTTTCTAAATCAAAATAAACAAAGGTTAGAATTATACAGAAAACACTTCACAATAACTTAAATCTTTCCGATAATAGGATGTCGATTTTATTGTAATAGCTGTAAAGTATAATATTGCTTGCTGCGGTTGGAGAGGTTACACTAGTTAGTCCTAGTAATGAGGATTTTATTTCTCGCAAAAAAATATTAAAGCTTCTTGGGACAAAACATGCGTAACATACAAACTATTTTATTCTAACATTTCCTTAATTGTACGAAGTCAATTTCAGAATCTTGTAATGGAAATTATTCATACCTTTTTATTCGAATAATTAAGTTAAGGAAATACAGAAATATCAGATGTCCACATATAAGCAAAGAAATCATATCATCATCCATGCGGTTAATAGCGGTACTTTCATCATGCATCATGCAATTGATTTCAATCTTACTAACAAATCTACATTTTTTGGAAGACAGTTGTCAGGCACAGTCTGAATTGCTCTGAAATAATTGTTAATTTAATAATACCGATCGCCAGTATGACGAAATAAGAATTAAATGGTTTTTCTTATCTCAAAGTGCTTCCTACGATTTTAATTCCCAATTATAGATAAACCTATGAAAGATAATTTAGAGCTAATGGTAATTTATCTAGTGTGAAAAAGAAAAATAGTAAAAATTTGATGTTTTCAAATGAATCTAATAGAAAGAAATTTACTGATTAATTTGTAATTGTTTAATAGAAGCAAGAAGTGTTCGTAATAAATACTTATAAAAGTAGTACTAATAAGAAATAGTTGAAAAAAAAATCTACAGACCGCATGTTACTATCAACCCGCCACCGATTAGTTACAATAGTACACATCTACATGAAATTATACAATACAATATAACACCACGTGTGAACATTGCCAACGAAACGAGATAAATTTTATAAACATTTTAATATAATGATACTGAACTGAATAAAATCACACATGTATGTGATTAAATTTATACATGTTCGAGTTAAAATTTAAGTTGAATGACTTTCTTATACAAAAATAATATGATCTTTGTATTTGTATCTCGCCTAGTCGGTGTTGGTATGTATGTATGTGTGTGTGTGTGTCATACCGACAGCTGAAGATCCCCTCGGCCTGTAGTCCTATGGCCTCCACGTCCACTCGACCGAGAGCGTCCGGCGAGGAGGTCTCGAAGGCCTTCTTGAAGATCGACAGCAGGCAGCTGATGCGGTAGTCCAAACGAACGTCCAGGATAAACTGTGGAGAATATTTCTTGTATATTTTGGGTCACTTTCATAGTAATGTATTATTTTGGTCAGTATAATAGTAGTATCAAGCTGAAGAAACGTTTTTCTTAAACTTGTAAAACAGTACATACTTTCCAAGAATTGTTAGTTTAGAATACAAATAAGTATACGAATATAAGTATAAAATAAGAATAAGAAGTATAATACAAATTTTTGAAGAACCTTTTAATCATACTGAGATCTAAGACTTTCGTGAATATTCATTTAAATAAACCAATATTTTCGTTTTACTACACTTGATTTTATCATAAAAAAAGTTAGTTTCATTCAAACATTTAGATCAGTATCTATATAAATATAATTAAGAATTAGAGTATAACTTTCCACGACACAGGCCTAGCCTAGTGTGGACGTCAACGTTTACTGTAAATTGCATAGTTAACTTTGTTTTTCAAAGAAAATAAATAAATAGTTAAGAGTGCGTTTGCTTTGAGTATGTGTGTCGGTTGTTGTAACATCTCCAGAACTGTTATCAGTATCGTACCTGCAGTATTTCTATAATCTTCAGCTTGGTCTCCATCACTAGTGGATGTTTCCGGGCCAGGGCCAAGGCTGACGGGCGGCGAGGACGCCGGCCCTCCGCCCACCACCTGCTAATAGAACACACATTTTGATTATTTCGATTGCAAATACTGAGTCTTGATTTATACTTTATAGTATAATCAACACTTAAAAACATATTTTTTCTAAATAACAACATACATTCCTATATATAAATCGACTAAATAATTGTAAATCTCAGTAAGAAACAAGTTTTTTAGGGAGTATTGTGGTCAAAAATGCAGATATTTTTTGTTCTTACAGTGGTTTCAAACTAAGTGAATATTATTGGAGTTATATATTAGTAATTGGTTCTGACCTTAATATAGTTTTTATGTGTTTTCTGTTACATTTACATTTAATGCTCCAGGTCCGAGTGTGATGGAGGTCATGACTGCTCCCATATCGCCAATACTCCGGAGAACTCCCCCTCCGCTGCAACAAATATATAAATCTTGGTCAGACATAAATATATACATTTGTATGTTCTTCCTTATTAGAAGTTAGATTTTAACAAAATGTATTTGATTCCATGGCTACTTTATATAAAACTAACAGTCATTCAGTATTCTGTATATCCTTATTTTAATATTAAAAAATATTTTACATAAATTGGCGGGAAAAAGATGACAGACTCCAAATTTAAAATACATATAACAATATTTTTGGCCAGGGCAAGTATGTGTAATAATTTTCTAAAGTTATTCTGCACTATACTACTCACATATTTTCTTTTCATTTTCCTCAGCTGCGTGTAACATTAAGGTTTTAAAATAAACATAAATTGAATATTATACAATAAATATATTAATTAACTTTTTTAATGATTTACATATATCTTTTAGGATGTACGTACATGTTTATAAATAACCTATGTATATACAGGGTGACTGGTGAATTACTATCGATACTTGAGGACGTGATATTTGACGATCATATATGACAAAATAAAAATTAATATAACATAAATATTAATAAACTTCTTAGTAAAGTTAACCAAAAGTTATGTAATTAATTACGCATCGTGTGAACACCCTACAGATTAGGTATACACACACACAAACACACGCGTGCGGCGGCGTGGTGTTGTATCAGCACGCCGCCGCACGCGTCCACACTTTATTTATTTATACGGAAATTTGGTCAAAAATTAAGTACCTATTTTTTTTACATAATTCGAATGAGAATCATGTACCGAGTATTCTCCTTAAATATCGATAGTAATTCACCAGTCACCCTGTATATCTTGTTTAGTTTATATTTAATGTAACTCACATTCCACTTCTCCGGCGAGGGCGTTCGTTTCGTTCAGTAGATCGATCGCAGTCACACAGTCAAGAAGACAATAAGGTTTTGTCAGCCGAAGAAGATCGCTGAAGCTGTGTTAAATTAGAAAATTATGGACAAATTTATATTATTTATTGAAAAATATACATTTATAGACAAATGAAGTGAACTAGAGAAATCATGGTATTATAATTCTTTAATATAATCATCTGCACAATATTAACAGCTTATAAACTATAGCCTCTCTTAATTGTGTTTTCACTAACATTATCTTGCTCTATATAAGCAAAGTAATAGTTTTTCGATATCAATACGTATTTTAACACATCGCTAGTATATTTTAGCGTAAGTACTATCATCACGGAGACTAAAACATATATATGAAGTAGAAGTCAGTTTATTGAAAAAGAATATTTATATGAATTTGTTTAACTACAAATCAATATCTTACCTATAAAACCCAAAGTAAGTTAATTCTCCAGCCAGTTTAACGACCTCAAAGGTCAACTTGTTCTGGTCGTGGTCGCTCAAGTACCACGTCCTAGTCACGTCTTTACACAAGTAGTCCTCAACGAAGTCTATGGTAGACTCGAACTGCTTCTTCACTTTTTTCCTGGTCGCGTCCTGACCGCCTTTCACGCATTGATAGCTGTGGCAGAATTAATTAATGATTAATGTAATGAAAATAATTGATATCATACATGTATTTATATTTTATCGTAGTGTCATTGTGTGTGCCGTGTATGTGTGTATGTATGAGTGTCTTTCTCAGTGGTGTTGTTGAGCTGGAACGCTCCAGAACATAATCCGGTACTTCCTTTTTGGACAGGAACGCATTCCGGAATTAAAGATGACAGTTCAGATGGTTGAATTAGCTAACTTATTAAAAAAAATTGCAGGTTTTTGTACACACATAATGGGTTTCGTAAGGATTTTCGTTTCCTTTCCTTTATATAGGGCCGATCCTGGCCACGGACTGAAATTAGGAGAAATCCTCCTCCCCTTTTATATATATGCATTCCAGTAAAAGACAAATTAGCACAACATCACTGGTCTTTTAACACGCGGGGTGTTTGCATGTGTGTGTTAATGTTGATGTGTGTGTGTGTGTGTGTGTGTGTACCGACTCGTTCACTCGTATGGTGGCGGCGACCTCAGCCCACAGCCTCGCGTACTTGACGGGTGTGACGGGCTCCTGAGGGTCGCGGTCCACGAGCAGGTGCAGCATGAGGCGGCAGAAGGACGCGCGGACCTCGTGAGACACTTTTAATCTTTTCTTACTGAAAGGTACTTTATTGTCAAGATAGAACATAAAAAAGTATATTATGTATGCTGGTGTAGAGTTGTTTTTGTATTAGGTCGGATATGTCCGCATGAACTAATATGATAAAGGCTAAGGCGGCCAACCGTCCCGCATTCTGCGGGACCGTCCCGCGATTCTAGACGAAATCCCGCTTTGAAATTATTAGTAAAATAGTCCCGCAAAACGTTGTATGCGTCCCGCATCCCTATTTTTCTACCAGACTTCTACACAACACCCATACCACGGTCAACAGTGCGGGAACACAGATTACCTATAATAGCGACAAGCGTAGCGCGCCCGCGCTAATCTCGTTTTCTTCCTTTCTTCTGAACTCACGACGCGTAAGAAAGTACTTAAATTTAATATGGGCAGTTGCGAAGATTTTTATGACATTCCCAATCCCTAACACCCCCCCCCGCCCCGCCATTCACGAAAGGTTAAGTCCCGCATTCAGTTTTCGGAAAATTGGCCGCCTTAATAATAAAGGCAAAAATTGACGATGTTAACGTTTAAGTCCTATCTTTAATTACACAAGGTAACATTTATTCTCCTCGCCCACAATAATACCATGTCTACACGAACCTGTTTATTGTTCCAGTACAGCATCACCTCCCCACCGTCTCCGTCGCTCGACTCATCTGGCACTAACCTGTGTAATGATTCCTTCATTATACTTCTATGGATATTATAATTATTTTAGTGCATGACCCAATACTACATACATCTATATTCTATTAGTGAAAAGCGGTTACATTTTTTAACTCACATTTAATTTACAAAGATTAAATAGTTGCTTGTTATATATTTATTAATTGATTGATAGTATTGACATTTTAAACAATAACCTACATCTATTTAAAAAAAAAACAAGTGGTTTCAATTTAAACAGACAATAGTAGTGATTAAATCTATTTTCTTATCCATTATTTAGTTCCTCGCTTCACCAGTTTATAATTTAATTTAATTTTTAATTTATTTTTTGTTGCTGTAACTTGTTCATATTTTTCTGCAAGAGTGTGTTGTGTGTTAACAATGCTGATATACTCATAGAGACCAGGTACTGAATTTATTTACGGTTCACAAAACAGATTATAACTAAAGATACAATTAATTGATAAGTAAACATTATACATAAGCTGAGTTATAACCCAATGACTATGTGAACACGGATTATAGACTATATGTCACTTATAAAATCAAAAATACATAGCACTTAAAAATACATTGTATACATATAAGAAAAGACATTTACAATAAATAGAAAGAATATTGTACACAGAAAAAAAAAAATATATATATATATATATATATATATTCTCGAGAGTATTATTGAAAATAAACTCATTTAAGTAGTTAGAAAACTATGAGAATCATTCTCATCTCGTCTGCCCGTTATCACGTTTTGAGTATAGTAACAGAAACGTCGGCAGTATGTAGTTTTAAAAATAGTACAATAACGAGTATGTAGTTATCTGAAAATTGTTAGTTTCATTTAATAAATATAAATATCCATATTTAATCAATATATAATTTAATATACAATAAGTATACTTTTTCAGACCCTGGCTGAGAAATTGCCTAGAAGAAGAAGAAGTATACTTACCAACAAAGGTCTCTATCTCCAACAGCTCCCTGTTGTTGTGTAACAGTGCTGTTATCGTGTCCTCAGCCAGTATGTCGTAGTCGATCTGTTTCTGCATGAAGCTGAAGTGCTTCGCGATGTATTCCTGAAACGAGAACCTATTGAAAAACCCATAGAACTATAATTAACTCTCATTCGCAGAAGCATCAATAATTATATTTAGAAGTATCTTTTATTAAAATATTAGTACCTTTTGGTTTTCCAAGCTACATTTTCAGTTGAATCCCTACTAATATTATATAAAGCGAAAGTAACTCTGTCTGTCTGTCTGTTACGCTTTCACGCCTAAACCACTGAACTGACTCTAATGGAATTTGGTACAAAGCTAGAGTTGACCCTGAGAAAGAACATAGACTAGTTTTTATCCTATACTTTTGAAAGGTTCTCTTGGAAACGCGATATAACCGAACTCCACGCGGGCGAATCTGCAGACGGATAGCTAGTGAGTGTATAATAGACGTATTAATATCATCACTCACTTGGTTTTTCCTGTAATCTTGTTGACTAAGTGTCAGTATACGGTAGCAGAGTCTGAAGATGAATTTGTAAGGCGCGTACCGTGGATCATACAGCTCCTCGATCTGAAGGAATGGTTCACCTTTAGCTGATTCTTGAAATGGACTCTGGAAATAAATACATCATGTATCAAACAGATATGAGCTCTATATTAAAAATGCAATTAATTGAGACGAAACTAATATTTTAAGAATTATACTACACGTATTTTATTATTTTTAAAAATACATACTCCCGACGTTTCGGTTACTTTGCAGCAACCGCGATCACGGACGGACGTGATAGTAATGTCTGTTATATGTTAATACTTCATAAAATATTAATTTCATTTATATGAATATTCACGAGTCTTAGATATCGTCAATTGAGGCGAGTTAGTTATAGATAAAATTACGTGTCAAGGTAAATGATTATTAAGTGTTCTTAGAGGTTCTCAATAAGATTTTAATTTGTTCTTTTAGTTTATATATTCTAATATATAAGAGTACCTGCAGTATCATGAACAGTTGTCTCAGTATGTACTGCTCCCTCAACAGTTTCTGTCTGTCTCTGTTGGGATTCTCTACAACAAGTTCTAGAGCTTTCGACTTGTTGGGTTCTTTAAAGTAAACTATGTCCTGGAGGAGACTCGTTAGGGCTCTGAAACGAATATTGAAGTAATAATTAATAAACATATTCTCTGGAGGGTAGTCATAGAAAATGTAATAAAAATATGTTGAGACACCGACATAGGTATTTATTATTAATAAATTCATAGAAATTATTGTTACTTTAGTTTATCAATATGCGTTTAATTAATTATATTTGGTGAAGTATTTATAGCGTCGGGCTGTTTTACTCCTTGTTAAGTGAATTAATGACTTCTTTAAAGTACTTTAGGAGCTTATAAGGAAGTAGAAACTTAAAAAATATATATAAATTATGTGAATGCTATTTATGATATTTTCACTGATACTTACAAGAATCCAATTGTCAACAACAGATATTTAGTATTCCTAAAATACTATATGAGGGTCGAACTGAAAGCTCTTAGAACTGGCCACTTATAAACAATATAATGAAAAAATAATTCTAAAATTTGAAAATAGAACTCTTTACCAATATTACTGAGTATATAGGTATTTCATATATTTGACATTTGTTTTACGATTTGGCGGCAAATTGAAAATTGTCTGTGTCACGTCAACATGAATTTAACACGAGATATATTTTGTGCAACGATTTTTTATGACTTTAGATGTCATTTAAGTCAACAAGAAAGTTATGATAGACTACGTTTGGCCTTTCACGATGAGGCCCCATCTCGTGCGACTGTATACAACTGGTTTAATGAGTTTAAACGTGGTCGCACTAATCTCAATGATGATTTACGTGAGGGACGGCCTTCTACGGGGACGACTGAAGATAACATCTGTGTTGTGCGGAGTATGATAGAGACTGACATAAGAGTGACCTATCAGCAGATTCGGACAAGCTTAGGTAACGAATAACATTACCTTTCTTCTAGTTCAATCTCAACTGGTCACACACCTTGACTTTAAACTTATTTTAATTTTATTACCAAATGATAATAATGAAAATCTACTCGTAACTAATTTCAATAAACACATATCACCAGCACAGAGCTCACAGCTATAATTTGACACAATTCGTTAATAAATTAATCCACTGTTAACTACAAATTAAAACTTATTCACATGCGCTTAGAAAGACAAATAACAATATTCAAAAATAATAAAATGGCGAAAAAATATATGAACAGTTTACCGACCAATCAGAGCGTCCCGTTTCATTTGACAATTAACGAACGAATGGAGATAGATTTCACTTATTATTTATTAACAAATCATAAATCAAATATCGTTTTAAATATCTGTTAATATTTGTAATTCGTAATGTATGATGAAAAATATGTAAGTAAGAATTAAACAATATAGGTTTACCGTTTAGTTGTTATATGGGTAGGATATGCAGTGCTTATTTGCATCTATGGTATGCACATGTTTGAAAATGTATTAAAATATTAATATATATTACAAAAAAAAAGTCTTATACATATTGAAAACATAACTCTTAAATTATAGAAAATATTTTAGTAAATTACATTTTGAAAGCGGGTTCCAATTTAACAGTATATTAAACACATATTTGACATGTTACCGCTTTTGTACCTAAGTCTTATTCTTACTTTTTAATAATAATTCCTTAGTTATAATCAGATAATAATCTAAATACAATAAAATATATGTTTTTAAAGTTTTAACAGTTTTTAAACAAAGCTGACTCCAATATAATTATATAATAATAGTATATTAGACATTCTTTTGACAAATAATTGACGACGCAATACTTTCGTAAGTCAAATCCACACTAATCGATTATTTAAACTGTAAATGACAAGATAATATATATTTAAATACAAATAGTATATTTAATAAACATTGTATAATTATAGAACATATATCCTAATACACGCCACTGAGTAATAAGACAGCCAAAGTAGTGTTTGTTGTAAATTTTCTTTATTTACAATAATAACTGACTTGAGAGTGTTCACTTACAACTGACATTAAGGCTCTCAATAAATTCTTCAAATGCATAAATTTCTGTTCCACCAAGACTATAATCATTATTCCGTAGATATTTCTCTATAACTTCCTTCAGTCTGCTTTGGGAGCGTTCAAGTATTTTCGTAACGCTATTTTGAGGGAGGTGGGGGGGGGGGCTCGTAAAACGTTACGATCCGTTACAGGGGCGGAAGGGGGTGTCTCTAACAAAACGTTACGTAGCATTGTTTCTAAAAAAAATATTTTAATAAAAACCCCCAAACTGGCAACTCTTTTCATATACGTTACATTATGTTCACCAGATTGTATTAGTCTGGTCGATATTTTTATTTGTTATTCCAAGTTTGCAAATCTCTTAATTGATATTTTACTGGGACTACCTAGATTGCATTGTAAGTCTTTTAATGTTGCTTCCGTGGTCAGTATTCGTTAGTGTTTATCCGTGAGTTCATATTATTGTTTATAGTGTAATTTCTTCAGAAGAGGGAGATTTGTGTCAATGATCTTTTTCCATTTAATAGATTAAAACTATACCAAACTATTACATATTGTTTTACGACTTTGTATGAAATTGATCACTTGAGTGTTACGTAACGTTTTGAGAAGGGGGGGGGGGGGCTACAATAACACGTTACTGTGCGTTACGAGGGGGGAAGGGGGGGTCAAAAATCTTCAAAAATTGCGTTACGTAATACTTGAACGCTCCCTAATTCCGTCGATATGTAATTTGTATCTAACACCAATTAAAATATATGTATAGAATCAATCTAATATATAAAATTCTCGTGTCACGGTGTTCGAACTTGAACTCCTCCGAAACGGCTCGAACGATTTTCGTGATCCTTATCGAGGATACTAACCAGGGGGGAGAATCGGCTAACATCTATTTTTCATCCCCCTAAATGTTAAGGGTAGTCCACCCCTAAATTTTTGTTTTTATTTTT